CCCCAAAACCCCCAATCCCCAAAACCCCAAAACCCCAAAACCCCAAAACCCCAGATCAGAAGTTTCAGTTTGACTATAACAATTTTCTTAAAATGGCAGCTGAAATTTCATACGATGAAGAGGACATCAGTGGCTTCTCTGATGAAGAGCTATCCATCAAGGTCAGGGAGAGCAACGTGCTCTCCCTGAACATGATTATGAATTCTCATAAGAAGAAAGACTTTAGAGATGACATCGAAACAAGCCTATCGCCTGTGAAACAACAACAGAATGAGTCTGAAAATGACAGCTACGATAGCGATACTATTGGTCAACATGAGTCTGAGTCAGAATTTAGTGTGGCCCCTGACATTTACAATCAATCTGAAGAAGATAAGTTCTTTGCAGATGACAGTGATGAACCTGACGAAGTTTATCAAGTCAATGCTCCAGTCCAACTCGTTAAAATAAGTAGTGACCTCACCACTTTCGAAGTTTGAGAAGAAGGTATGAAAGTTCTCAGAAGTATAAAAGGGGATATTGGAGTAGTTTCACTAGCAGGAGCCCAAAGAACAGGTAAATCATTCACTCTAAATATGCTCCTCAATCAATTAGGAGGCAAAGGGTTTACAGTAAGTCCATCAACTGACTCATGTACTCAAGGAATCTGGATTTGGGGTTCACCAACCTTCGTAAAATCCAGAAATATGCATGTATTGCTGCTAGACACAGAAGGAAGTGGATCTATAGACAAAAATTCAACTCATGATGGCAAAATATTTGCTTTGGTGGTGCTCATATCTTCTTTCTTTATCTACAATAGTTTTGGTGCGATTGATGAAAATGCGATAAACAATCTTTCACTGGCTGCAAAACTCTCCACAAACATTGCTGTTAGAGCTGGTAAAGGGGTTTCAGAAGATGAAGTAATCTCAAATTTCACTCCAAAGTTCATGTGGCTTCTTAGAGACTTTGTCCTCGAAATGAAGGAAAATGGCCATTCGATCACAGAAAACGAGTATCTTGAAAGCAAGATTAATAACTACACCGAGGTCAAAACTGCTTTAGTGAAATTCTTTAAAATGAGAGAGCTCATGACTTTGGTTCGTCCCAGCAACGAGGAACACCAGCTTGCTAACCTAAACAAGGTCCAATTTAACGACCTCAGAGATGAGTTCAAGGTAAAGGCTCATAAATTGAGACACAAAGTCTTTGAAGAGTGCCCTCTAAAGCAAATGAATAACAAAAGGATCAATGGAAAAGTCCTTGCAAAGCTCCTTGAAATGTACGTCGAAGCCATCAACGATGGAGCTGTTCCAAATATCACTTCTGCTTGGGAAAGTGTAGTTGATCATGAAAGAGAAAGGTATTTCAGCAAATCCAAAATGGCCTACATACAACAAGCTAAACGAATTGCAATGCCTCTGGAAGAGGCTGATCTGCTTGAGAAACTTTACCAAATGCGTACCCATGCTATAGACCTTCTAAAAGAAGGTTTCAAGCTTGGCGATGAAGAAACTGACAAAGACAGCCAGGAAATAGCCTTAAAAGAACTCTTAGTAATCATCGAACAGAATGAAAAAGACACCAAGAAAAGGAACTACGAGAGTTCTCGGAAATAAATGAGAGGATGTTGCCAGAGAAGCTTTCTCTAAAATCAACCTGACCATTCGAAATGACGGGTACTCAATGGACAACATGGATGACCTAGAATTTGATGTTGAAAACTTCACCAAAGCCTACAATGCTAACTCAATCGGACCTGCAAAGGTTGAAGTCCTTTCAGGATTCATCAACACAGCTATTCCAAAAATTTCCAAAGATGTACTCACGACCGAGTACCAAAAACAAAAAGTGAACGAGGACAGGCTGAACCAAGCAATCACTATTCTGAAGCAAAAGAATCAAATGTTAGAGGAAAACCTTGAAGATATGGAGGCAGAGAATGTCATGAAGAAGGATGAATACGAGGACCTACAAATCAAGCTCCAAAAAGCTACCAAGCAAGAAGAAATTCTATTACATAAGGCTGAAGAAGAAACTGATAAACGCAAGAAGCTCATGGATGACCTTGCTGAAGAGAAGGAACGGAACCAAGAACTGGATTCTATCAGAAAATAAGACTGAGGATCAACTTAAGCAGAGAGAAGAGCAATTTGAAATTGACCAAAGGAATTTGAGACAAAAAAACGCCCATAGAGATAAAAGCTCTGACGAAGAAGATTCATACTCTCGTGAGCGTGGTAGGACAGGTGCTAAGAAAAATAAACCAAGCCAAGGTGTTGATATAATGGACATAGCACTACAGAATAAATCAGATGAAGACTCAGAGTACGAACAAGGCACAACTCGTAGAGGAGGGAACACCAAAAAGAGAGGTAGAAATGGGAAAAAAGTAGGAGCTCCTAAGGCAGGGAAAGCTGGATGCAAGTGAACAATCTTTTAAACCCAATAATTAATTTACTTATTTATTCTCCAAAATAGGCTGTCCTTCCCATATCTTCATTGGTACAATTTTTCAAGTTTGACAAAGGTCCGCAGGGTTTAAAGATACCTATAAGCTTTATCAGTAAAAATTACCTTTTTCTCACTTAGATAAAAATAGCATGTCGCTTGGTACTTTAATGGATGCTGACTTGAAGTCAGCTATCGGGATATTAGGAGAAGAAGTTGTTGTCCCCATCTCAAGATTGTTCTTCAAGCTAACCTTAGGTACCCTCTTATCGTTTAAGTTCGGCAGTATAATTTTTCTGTTACGACGTGCATTTTTAACAATCTTTGATAAATCCCTAGACTCTTGAAACTGAAACACGCCTGGCCCAACTTCCAAACTTTGAGGAAGGTCATCCAAATGGAGTCTTCTCCTCTTACTGAAGAAAACTCTCTTCTTCGCCTCTTCAGGCTTCATTGCAGAGAAAGAGTGAATTTCTGGATAAACTATATTGGAACAAATTAATCTACCCCATAATAATAACCATAATACGGACCATAAAACCCAGAAGGCGAGCATTTTAATTCTCTTTTTGAATTACCAATCCCTCTGGGAACTACTTCTCCAGAGAGGTTCCCACAGCCAGAGCGTTACTGTAAACTTCTGACATTTTTCGTTTGAAAATAAATGTAGAATCTTACATTGATAAAATACATTTGCTGGTGTAGTGCCATTCTAACGAAGATAAGCTAATCCAAGTAAAACGCTTCTGAGCAATTGAATAAATCCTGATCTTCTAACTAATAGGTAATATAGTTCTAGCAGCTTGGGCCTCCAGCCGAAGCTGGAGGGCCAAGCTAGGGAATATCTTTACATAAAGTCACCAAGATGGCTTACATTTCATCAGATTCTTCGCAGCCTTAGGCTTAGAATCAGTCGAGACTTGGCCTTCTAAGCCAAGCTCGATCCTCTTCATGCTTGCCATTAAGGAGAGGGGTTTTGAGTACAAGTTCCTTGCTGATCTTTTGAACTCCAAATTACTATCTTTCTGTTCAGAGAGATTTCTTCTCAAAAAATTGCCAGGATTTATTGAAAAGACCTTCGGAGTTTGATATAATTTATATTCCCTCTGGCTATTTCTCCTGATATGTAGGCTTTCTGAGACCTCTCTAGAGGGAGTTGCGAACTCCTGGGAATTCTTAACTACAGCATCTTTAGCAGCATCTACACTTTTAACTTGCCGTCTCTTCCTTCTAAAGTTTGGAAGCATCAATCTGTTACTACCTATACCTTCTATTAGCTTACAATTTTTGTTAAATTTCATCCGAGCCCAACAACGATGCAAAAGTATATTTCCTAAAAGCCCAGATTGGAGGGCTGCCTCTCAGGCAGCCCTCAGGGCCAGAAGTATCGGCTTACCTTGGAGTTCATCCCCAAAGAAATCTTGTGGGAAATAATGCTTGGGCTTGGATCTTTTGCTGAATCCAGCGCTCTGATCTCTATCCATCTTGTCAACTTTATTATTTATCAATCCTGTATGACAATGTGGGGTTTTGGGGTTTTGGGGTTTTGGGGTTTTGGGG